GGCCGGCCACCGCGGCTTCCATCGGCTGGCGGTGAAGGGGGTTCCGCTGTCCTCTCAGGAGGAAGTCCAGGGCGGGGGCGCAGCGGGAGGGTCGGGACTGCGGCCTGCCTCCCTCTGCTGCCCACCCACCAGCATGCCGGACACATGGGTCCTGCCCAGGTGAGCAGGGCCAGGTGTGGCGCCAGGGCTGTCCCAAAAGGGAATTCTGAAACGCCTGGCTTCCAAACTATAAAACCCGTTTTTATTGACCACTCTAACAATTGACCGGGAGGCACCAGCAGGGGAAGCACAGCGCATTTCCTCATTAGAGTTTTACAGTTTACAGCTAGCTGTGGTCGCTGGAAATTAAGGAGGAGTGATTCTCAGGCGCGGAGCAGGAGGCCAGGCAGGCTGGGGCTTGAATTCCTTCTGAAGCCAAACCGGGAATTCCGCGCAGGCAGCTCTGAGCTCGGGCTGGGGAGACCCCCCTGCCAGGCCCTGTCTGGGGACGCTCCCGCCCGCCAGCTCCATGCCCCCACATCCGGCTCCCCACAGGGGTGTGTCCCCACCCCATGCTGTGCTCACACTGGCAGGAAAAACTGGGCAGGCCCGCTTCGGGACCGACCCTGGCTGACTGGAGCAAGGTCCAGCGCCCCTGGGGACCTCCTGGTGGCCTGGGAACCTCTGTCCCTCCAAGGCACAGCTTAGAGCTCACTCTGGTCTTCCTGGGGCCACTGGTTCTGTTCAGCCCTCTCCCCTGGGCCTCACTGCTTCTCCCAGGAGGTCTTAAGGGGACCACAGAGGGCGGGAGGGTGCTCCCTAATGTGCAGGTGGGGTCATAGTGGAGTCCCGGAGTAGGTCCCCAGCAGAACAGAGATGGACACTGTGGAGTCCAGGCCTGGGGCAGAGATGGCATGGCCCAGACTGCCGTGCTCTGCTGGACACTTTTGGCCTCTTAAGGAGGGATAGCCGCTGGGCTGCCTGCTGGTCCCTGGTGCTGGCTTCGTCTCTGGACCTCAGACCAGGGCTGGGTGTGCAGGGTGCTCTGAGCTCACGGTCAGAAGGACAGGAGCTCAGTCCTGTGCATTGATGGGTTTTGTGCATCTGCCCAGGGCCCAGCCAGGCTAGACTGGCAAGAGGCAGAGGGCATGACTGGGGGGTGGGCGGAGCCCTTGGCTCTCAGCAGGCACAGGGCCTCCCCTGGAAGGTGGGTGGTTTGCAAACAGGCCAAAGCCCAGGTGGGCTCAAGCCGGGCCTGGAGAAGGCATTTGGCTATGCTGTGGGCCAGGAGCAGGGCCTGGGAGAAAGTCCCGTCGACATCCGTGGCGGCGGCAAACAAAGGGGCCCTGTGTGAGCTCGGTGTGGGAACGCGGGGCCTCGCCACGGGCGTGAAATCGGCGGCGGCCCCTGGCGAGGGCCAGGCGGCGCGGGCGCCCGGGCAGGGACAGTGTGGCTGGTGTGGCGGCCCTGCGCGGCAGGAGCCTACCCCCTGCCTGGGGTCCAGAGCCGGGTCAGGCAGAGCTGGTGAGGCCCGCCACTGCAGTGGGTCTGTGGCCCAAGGCGGGTGCCCAGGCTCATCTGTGGGGCTCAGAGGCCAGCCACACCACACTGCCCACAGGGAGTTCGCTGAGTGGCCCTGGTTCTTGCTGCTTCTCCACCATGACTCCGAGCTCCCCTGGCCACACCCACGGCCCTGAAGCAGCTCCATTTGAGGATGGGAAGGGGGGAGGGGCTGGGGGGCAACAGCTCCGAGTCAGCACTTCCCGAATGTTTGCTGAGGGACATCCAAAAGGTGGACATCTGTTCCAAATGCTGGGATGTGGGGGTCCACCTCCAGCCACCCAATGCTTGTGCTCGAGAGGACCCCCTGGTGTTTGCTGGTGTTGCTTGGAGCCTTCTGCTGTCTGGGAGGCCCTGCCCTGGGACCCGGCGACAGGGCTCAGCTCCGACTGTGCAGCTGGGCCCTGTCCTTCCTGCCCTGCCTGTCCTGGGGATACTGGCCCGGGGGTGCCCTGCCTGTAACCCACCAGCCCCCAGAAGGCAACAGTGGGGCCCCTTCTCCCTGCACGCAGCCCCTTCCTTTCCTTCCCTGGAGGCTCAGAGCAGTGGGCAACATGGGGAGGGAGGTCCGTGCGGGGCGGCCAGCCCGCCTGGGAGGGCCTAGGGAGGACAGCGCAGAAGGGGCAGCTGGCCAGAGCTGGGCCGAGGCCTGCGGCCACCTTAAAGGCACTGAGCGGGGAGGGAGGGTGGCGGGCAGTGGGGGCGGAGCTTCCAGCTAATTCATTAAAATGTGTCGGGAGCGTGGGAAAGAGGAGAGTGTTTCTTCCCAGCAGCCCAGACACCTGGTAGAAGGGCTGAGAGGATCGAGATCAAATAACAAACACTCAGCCCGGGCCAGCACAGGCCGCAGCGGAGGAAGGACGCCCGGGCAGGAACTGCCGCAGACAATCCCTGCAACCGGTGGCTCCTGCCCACCAGGAATGGCCGCTCAGGGCATGGCCTGGCACTGGCAGCCTCAGCCAGCCGGTCAGCCTGGTGTCTATCCCCTAGCCTGGGAAGCAGCCTGATGGGTGCTGACCCCCAGTGACCGAGGCTGGATTCCAGCACCTGGCCTGGGGTGGGGACTGAGCAGACAGCCTCACCCCCACCAAAGCCTGGGTCTGGGATGGACGCCGCAGAACCAGGCCGAGCCTGTGCTGGGTAGTGAGGGACGTGTGGAGGCGGGAAACATATGGCGCAGCACGGCCATGGTGGGCAGAGGCAGAGCCAGCCAGGAAGGACGGAGGATGCGTGGTTTCTGTCTCCTTGCGGCCTCTGCACTGCTTTGCCTGCCTCTGCCGAGAGCCAACAGCAGCACTCAGGCCTGCGCTGGGAGCAGTGTCTCCAGGACGAAGCCAGGCCGGGTGGAGGGTGGGTGCCCTCAGCCACTCCCTCTTAAACCCTGCCAGGCGGAAGGAGTTCGGTCAGGGGCTGCCTCCTCAGGACAGGATGTGGAGCTGGGGTGCCCCTCCCGGAAGCAGATCCCAGTCCCAGAAGGCCCTGACCCTTTCCTGGGGTCCTGCTCTCTCACCCTGATGCCCCCACCTGACAGGCTCAGGCCCTGCGGCTGCCCAGCAGGTCAAGGGGGCAGGTCAAAACCGGACAGTTGGCTCTGACACAGGCCAGGCCCTCCCCGTCTCAGCCTCACCCTCTCCATCTGTGACATGACACCCCTGCCGGGGTTGCTGGGGACTGAAGGGGCTGGGCTGCAGTCCCTAGGGGTACCCAGGGGCAGTGGCCAGCCCTGGTGTGGCCGGGAACCCACAGGGAGGTCCTGGCTGGGCCAGTCCAGGGATGCCCAAGGCCTTCGCACCCGAAACCTGCTCCTTACTCTGGGCAGAGGCAGCTACTTCTCCCCAGCCCCCAGGACCCTGCTGCCCGAGGCTTCCGCCCGACTCCTCGGCCAAATCTGAGCTGATTTCCGCTCCAGGCAGGAAGCAGAGGAAAGGGATGTGGGTGATGGGAGGGGGCACATTCCTGGGATGGCCCCTCCCTGGGCTCGTCCTCCTCTCCCACCTCTGGGGCCCCCTGCCCTCCCTGCTCCACCTGGCAGAGCACCCTCGGACCCTCAGGGTGGGCAGCAGTGGCTGCCTGGGCCTCAGCCTCCTCCCAGACAAGGGCAGCGGCAGCTACGTTCAGACAGCTGTGAGGACGGAGACGTTGGTGCCCACGCATGCAGAGCCCTGGCCGTGGCTGGCTGCCCAGGTGCCTCTAGTGGGGCTGTGGCTGCCATTCTCCCACAGGGACCACACAGCCCTGACGGGGGTGATGGAGAGACCTTGTGGGTCCCACCGGGCTAGAGGTCCCAGCATCCTGACCATCTGGAAACCCTCATCTTCTCCCGACAGCTGCTCGGGTTGGGACCCCGCCTCGGCGTTCCCGGCGCTTGCTGGCACAAAGAGGGGCCCACGAGGGGTTTGTGGGGCGAGCATGAAACACGTGAGCAAGTCCACGGCCGTGGCCCCAGCAGTCAGGCACTTTCCATGTTTATTGTCTGGTTGTCCTCAGAAGGGGCTGCTGGCCGGGCTGGGGGCTGGGCTCGGCTCACAGGGGCTGGGGGCGCTCTCCAGGACGTCTCGGAAGTGGGTGGCAACACGATCCAGGTGGGAGCCATCCCAGAAGACCTTTCCACAGCGCGTGCAGCAGTAGAAGTGCCGCAGGCCGGGTGTCCTCAGCACGCCCACCGGGACCCCTGCCAGCTGCAGCCGGGTGCCATTGGTCAGCATGTCCGGTGTCTCCGCCCGCAGGTCAGCCGCCTGCAGCCAGCGGCAGGGACGGTCATAGGTGCAGCCCCCAGGGGCTGCCTCTGGGGCTGGGCCTGGACAGATAGAAGTGGACTCCCTGAGCCCTCAGCCTTCGGGCACGGCCCCCAGGCTGCTCCCAGGGTGGCCCAGTTGGCGGCCCACGCTGAGCCCATGCTCACTCCTCAGCAGCTCCTCTTGCTACCTATCTGCTGACCTTGCCTCCTCCACTTACTCCTCTGTGCCCACTTCTCCTATCGAGGGACCCCACCCCTCACCTTGTGGGCCCTAGGGCCCCCAAGAGCCCCACAGAGCCCCCAGAGAGCCCCCTCTGTCCAGCCGGGACCCAAGTCCCCCATTCTGGGGCAAGTCGGGTCCGTGGAGAAGCAGCTGTGTCCTTGGTGGGCGGTCCCGGGGCTCACCTGGCTCCTGCACCTCCTGGCTCTGGGTGGCCTTGTCACCTGTCAGTCAAGGATGAAAACTGGTCTGGGACTGTCCTAGGGATGGGGCTTGGCAGCCACCAGGGTCCACGACGCAGCCATGTGGCTGAGCACGGTGACCTCATGGTGTGCAGCCTCTTCACGCACACCCCAGCCTTCGAAGACGGCAGAGGGCAGGGGGCCAAGGAGCTGTGGTACCGGCCTGGTCCCCTCCCTTGGGAACTCACACCTCAGAAAGGTCTTGGGGCTCAAAGGTCCCTGGGAAACATGTTCTAGGCGCGAGATCTGCTGATTAGGGCTCTTGGGGGCCTGAGAACCAGCAAGCGGGGGCGGGGGCAGCGATGAGCAGATAAACCCACTGCCAGTGGTGAATTTCGAAATCAGCCAGCGCAAGGGCGGGCGGGTGGGCAGGGCCCAGGGACTGCCAGGCTCAGGGTCTGTTGGAGACCCTGGGAAGCAGCTCACGCTGGCCCTGTGAGGCCCCCCAGTCCCCAGTGAGAGCCCAGGGCAGGCAGGGCCGGTATCCACCCAGGGGTCACTGCAGGGCTGAGTGCACGACGGCCGAGGGAACACTGGCCAGCAGGTGGGAGAAGCGTCTGCCCTGCTCCTGTTGACCCTCGTAATCTGCTCAGCAAGCATTTCTCTACAGATGGCTCCGGATCAGCTACAGCCGGGGATGAATGCACGAGGCCCCCACCCCAGCCCCAGCTCCTCCTTGAAGCCCAGGAGGCCATGACCCTCATCTGGCCTCCCTGCCTCACCCCTCCCTGGCTGGCCCCAGCTCTTACCCTACAGTCCGTGTGACACCTGTCAGCCCATCCGGGTGTTGCCCACCACCCTGGGGCGGCGTGTGTGCCGTCATGTGCTGGGGCTCTGGCCTGAGTGTGCCTTTGCGAGCGTCGGGGCCTGAGGTTGGAGGCTACCTCCGGCCCCACTCTCTGGGGTGTGCTCTGCTGGCTGCCTGGGGTGACGGTTGGTCGCTCCCCGTCCTCCTACCCTGAACTTGGACTGACCCTTTTTTTTTTAATTTTTATTTTTGAGACAGAGTCTCGCTCTGTCGCCAGGTTGGAGTCAGTGGTGCGATCTCAGCTCACTGCAAGCTCCGCCTCCCGGGTTCACGCCATTCTCCTGCCTCAGCTTCCCAAGTAGCGGGGACTACAGGCGCCCGCCACCACGCTCAGCTAATTTTTTTGTATTTTTAGTAGAGATGGGGTTTCACCGTGTCAGCCAGGATGGTCTCGATCTCCTGACCTCGTGATCCGCCCACCTCGGCCTCCTAAAGTGCTGGGATTACAGATGTGAGCCACCGCGCCTGGCCTGGACTGACCCCTTTCTATCCACCTCCATTCTCTTAGTCCCTGTGCCCGCCCCCGACTGAGGATGACCAGGAGCAGCACCCTCCACTCCCTCCCTGGGGCGCCTCCCTCCCGAGGGTGGGGGCTGGCAGTTCTAACAGTGCGGGACGGTGGGGCATTGTTCCAGCCCTGGTGCAGATCTAAAACTGCAAAGTCCTTGGGTGGCCTGCACCCTCCACAGGGAGAGAAAGAAGCCCTCTGTCTAGTTTCACAGGCAGGGAAATGGGCTGCTGCACGTGTGTGTGTGCGCGCGTGTGTGTGTGCGCGCGTGTGTGTGCGCGTGTGTGTGCGCGCGCGCGCAACACATGCCTGGGCCCAGCAGAGAGAAGGAGGTGCACACCACTCCAGAGGGTCGCCGAGGGCCCTGGTGTCCTGATCTCCTGGTCTGCCACCGCACAGAAGGGAGCAGAGGCCACGTGGGCACCTGACCCTCGCTGTGCTTTTTCCACCTGTTGTCACCTGGCCGCCACCCTTATCTGAGGAAGCTGAGTGCTGGACAGGACAGGCCCCCTTCCCTGGCTACCCCAGCAGGTCAACCCATCCCAGGCCCCACAGACCCAGTGCCTGACCCTGACGCACTCACCTGAGCTCCTGGGCCCCTCCTGGTGGCCGCTGAGCCACATGAGCTGCTTCATCATGTCCCTGGAGACCTTCAGGTACTGGTCACAGTTGCAGGCCTGGGGGCCAGAGGGGGTGCTGAGGCCCAGGGGGGGCTTCTCCAGGTGCCCCTACCCCAGCCCTGTGCTTGTTCCTTGAAGCTTTAGGTCTGGCCATGGGGTTTCACAGAGACAGATAATGGGTCCCCTCCTGTCCCCACGCATAGTTCTGTGGGGTTCAGGCCACACTGCCTCCTGGAAGCCCTCCCTGACTGTGCTGGCTTCTCGTGGGCCCTGGGAAGCCTCTTCTGTTTTTTGACAACTTGTGGAACTCTCTGCCCAGCTACCCTCTCCAATCCCAGAAACCTCGAGGGCAGAACCAGGCCTGGGTCCCCTCCGGGCCACCTCAGCTGGGGTGTTGGACACATGGTCCAGCCTTAAAGGGTCAGCGTGGGCAGCCTCATAGTCGCCCCAACCCTTGACCTGTCCATTTCCGCATCCACATTTCTCTGTGATACCCGTGCCTGCCACTGCCCTGGGGCGGGTGTGACCCTGAAAGTGTCGGGGGGCTAGAGCAAAACTACTTTGTGCCTTGTCCAGGGCACACAACGGGCCCCCGTGCCTGCACCGTTTTTTTTTTTTTTTTTTTTTGAGATGGGGTCTCACTGTTACCCAGGCTGGAGTGTAGTGGCACAATCACAGCTCACTGCAGCCAGAAACCCCAGGGCTCAAATGAGCCTCCCACATCAGCCTCCTGAGTAGCACACCACCATACTCAGCTAACTTTTGTATGTTTTGTAGAGATGAGGTCTCACTGTGTTGCCCAGGCTGGTCTTGAACTCCTGGGCTCAAGTGATCACCCTCCTGGCTTTCCCAAAGTGCTAGGATTCCAGGTGTGTGCCACACCCAGCCCCTCTGGGTGGTTTCTGAATATGACCAATCTGCCAGGCTTACTGTGATGCTGGGGGCGGGGGCAGGGAGGCCGGGACCAGCTTACACCCCAAGTCATGACTTGGAGGGGGGTGCACCGCCTTCCCAGTGGTCACTTCCTGGACAAGGAGACGGGTCGAATCCCCAGGACTCCCCAGGCAACACCAGGAGGGGGCTGGGTGCCCACTGAGAGCCAGGTCCCAGGCAGGCACCCGCAGGTCCTGTGAAGGTGTGGCCTTCCCGTCACAGCCCTTCTGATGTCAGAGCACCCTGGGGAGGAGGTGGGGCTCCCAGGCCACCTGTACGGGGGAGCAGGGAAGAGGAGGCCGAGATCCATGGTCACATGGCTATTCCAGGACCCCTCCCCATGCAGGGGCTTTGGGTGAGCCCCGGATGACATGGCTGCCACAGGCAGGTGGCCTCGAGGCCCCTGGAGCCTCTGGGTGTGGCCATGTTGGGGGCACTGGCCCTGTCCCACATGCTCTCTTCCCCTGGGCCTTTCGACAGTAGGAGGCTGCACTACCTGCTTCCAGCATTGTAGCCCCCACCAGTTCAGAGGCCGGAGGCTGGAGGTGGTGGACAGGTGGGGCTCTTCTGCTAGGAGGCCCAGGGTGGGCTAGGGAGACAGGACCCTCCCTTCCTCTTCCCCTAGCTCCCATCTCTCCCCCCAGGAAGCTCCTTGTGCCATGCTGGCAGGTCCTGTGCCCCGGCCTCTGGGCCCAGCCCAGATCTGGGTCCAGCGGGCTTTCTGGGCAGGTGTGCAGGTGGACAGCCCTGGCTGCAGGTCTGGCTGGGAAGGGCTGAGAACAAGCAGGTGGTCTGCCCTCCACAGAGCCCCACTCTGCACTGTGCAGGCCACCTGCAGGGACAGTGCCAGTGGGTGTGGGAGGGGCAGCGAGGGTGCAGCAGGGCGGGATGGGCTCCCCACGCCCCCAAGTCCTCCACATGGGGTCTGGGGCCTTCCCAGGACCTGGGCCAGGTGCGCACGCCTGGGCGTGGCCAGCCAGCTCGTGCTGAGTCACCGGGTGCCGTCAGTGAGGGCCTGGCCCAACCCTCGGGAACCACCGGTGCTGTTTTTCCCACGGCTGCTGCCCGCTGTGGGCCTTGTTGTCACCCACAAGGCCCTGGGAGGCCCTGCCCTGGCCAGGGCTGGAAAAGCCGGTTCTGGGCCCGCTTGCTGCGCCCGCCCTTGGCCCTGGGCTCCCCAGCCACAGGGGGGCCTGGCACTGGGGGCCTCCCTGTCCATCTGTCCACTCCAGGGCCAGCAGCCCTTGCTGGACTGACTGCCCTGGGCGGGTGGCCGCCATGGGCTGAGGGAGGCTGTGGCTCTGCCCTTGTGAGTGGAGTTGGTGGCCCAGCACACGTCTGGCCTTCAGACAGTGACTGTCCACCTGAGCCCACCTGCCTGATACCCTGAGACCCGTCCCCCAGCACTCGGGCTCTGAGAGCCTCTGCCCTCCCATTTTGAAGAAAAGGGGCTTCTGAGGGCTTCCTCAGTCACAGGGCACTTGGCGGGCCAGGACCCCATGCCAGGGTTCTCACGCCACCTCCCTCCATCAGCGTGGGACACACAGACGCCCACTCCAGGGTGCCGTCGGATCTGGGCAGAGACGAGTGGGGCCTGACAGGGACCCTGAGCAGAGGCCAAGGCTGGGGGCCCAGAGCAGCACAGCGGGGTGCCTGCACACCTCCACCCTTCCCCCCATTCTGAGAGCCCAAGGGCAGGCAGCCGCCGCCCCCAGAACCTCACTGGGAGGGAGGGGTGGGAGAGCCCAGGCGAATGGGGGGCAGGACTGGCTGGGAAGGCTCCCGGCTACCTGCCCAGGATCCCCCGTGTGCCTGGTTCCCACGCTCCTCAGCCACTAGGTGCCAACAGCGCTGTACCAGCCCTGACACAGGGCACTTCCGCCCAGGACCGTGCGGGCCGGGCCATGAGCCCGTGGGCGTGTGGCTGCTTCCTGGGGACCGGGCCACCAGCCAGGCTGTCCTGGGAATGTTGAGGCCTATGGACCTACAGCCAGGTGGGTCTGAGTGGATGTCCACCCTCCAGGGCCCTCTCCTCTCCGGGCCCAAGGAGGAGTGAGGGAAAGAGCTGGTCAGCCACTGCCCCAGAGCTGGCCGTCTGGGGACGTGCACCCAGGACCAAGGCAGAGGCCAAGATGTGTTAGGGGTGGGGTGGGCAGCTAGGAGGGCTTGAGGGGTCTGTTCCCAGGGTGTTTGGGGGCTCTGAGCATCAAAGCTGGGAGCCACAGCCACGAGTGGGCCCAATTCCCAGCCCCACTACCAAGGGAGTGACCACAGCTGAAGGAGCCAGAGCTGGGCCGCAGAAGGTGCCTTCAGCAGTACCTGTGTGCCCACCTGACCTGGTGCCCACTTGGGTGCAGAGGTCACACCCACTGCCCCAGGCTGCAGGCCTGCAGGTGTGCCAGCCTATGCATCCCAAGCAATAGGTGGCTGGGGCACAGGTGTGGTGAGGGAGGACTGGGCGCTCCCAGGCAGACAGCCCCTGCACACAACACCCCTGGCCCCACACACCCCTGAGGTCTTGGGTCTTGACAAGTGGGGGGTTGAGGGAAAGAGGCAAGCAAGACATGAGCCCGGGACCTGCCAGGGCCAGAGCACGTGGGGAACCTGTGTCCTGGGGTGCAGGGCAGCAGGCAGTGGCCTGTTGGGTTGGGAGCCTGGGAAGGGAGCTCTGCTCCTCCAAGAGACTGGGCCGGATGTCTGCTGGGCCTGGGCCGAGTTGACCTGAGCATCCCTCCTGCATGCTGGCCACCCTGGGGATTCCCACAGCCCCTGCCCTCCCGGCCCAGTGGAGCTCAGGTTCCACCACCAGGCTGGGAATGATCCCAGGTCCTCGGGTGATCTGACCTCAGGGGTTTCTGCTCTGTGCCCAAGCCCAGCTAGACACTGACCCCCTGAGAAGGTGAGCTGAGGGGGTGAGGGTGGCAGGGGCCTCTTTGGGGCCTCCTGTTTCTGAGCAAAGAGCAAGCTTGTTGTAACCTCAGCCCCGGCCTGTTTCCTGCACTCCTCCCTCCGGGCCCCATGGTGGGTGTGGGAGGTGGGGTCCGTCGGGCTGGGGCCTGGCCTGGCTGGAACTCCTGCAGGAGATGCCAACCTGGGATTTCCAACCCTGCAGGCAGGTCCAGGAGGAGTCAAGGCCTAAGGCCACCAGGCAGGGCGATGGGGGTGCAGGAGCACACTCTGAAGCAACAGGACATTTCTGCTCATTTAGAACTGGGAAAATAGCAAAGCATGAAAGAGCAAAGATAAACTCTCACTCCGTCCCACTACCTGCCACGCGGAAGGGCACCCAGCACCTTCCCTGGACAGGCCTCTGCATGGCAAGGGCTGTGTGCTGAGATCCCACGTCGGGAAGCGGGGTGCTGGTGGGGGTCGCCAGTGTGCCGTCCCAGGGTGGATGTTGCACATTTGGTCCCTGGCAAGCCCCTGGGCGGGTCCTGAGGCCCCCAGGTCAGCCGTGCACTCTGACCTCCCCTAGAGCTGCCCAACAGATGGTGGGGCCTGGGGTGTGGGCCTGACACCTTGCTGGACAGGGTGAGCCAGCGACCCAGGAAGAAGCAATCAGGCGCCAACCTGCCCGCTGAGGCCTGGCTCTGGCCCACACCTCATCTTCCCACGCTGTCCCCAGAGTGCCTTGCAGCCCTGGGCTGCCCGCCCCAAAGGTGACCTGACACTGTCCCCTGCTGTGGCCCTGTGAGCCTCCTCAGAGAGAAGGGAGCTGTGAGCTTGCCGAAAGAACCTGGCCAGCCCCGGCACTGACTTTCCACTGGAGACAGCGCTGGGGTGGACGGAAGGCCGAGCCCCAGGCCCCTGGGGAGGTGTGTGCAGCCGGGGATAGCGGCCGTCTTTTGGGAAGCTTTTAAAACCCAGTCCATCCCCTTGAAGCAAGCTGGTAACCACCCACTCGGTGACCCCCGCCCTAATGTCCCGGGAGTGTCTGGAGCCTGTGACTGAGGATGGCAGCCCTGGAGAGGCCTCGCCCCTGCCCCCTTGCCCCTTGCCCCCCCGCCCCCAGGGCCCTGGAAGGGCAGTTCCCACGAGCCCCAGCCCCTCCCCCACCCAGCCACTGTCCCGTCCCCTTTGTGTGGTCAGGACAATGTCTCCACAGACAGCGTGGGGGATGGGCC